GCCAACATATTTTCCAACCATGGCAATTTTAACCTGCAATGTAAATGACAGCAAATAACATTATAATATCACCATGTGCATATAAATGCAACTAACTCATATTTAATGATGCTTGAGACCCACAGGAACGTGAAGCATGTCATAAACTTTGGTCCTGGTGGTCCACTCTGTTAAGTCAGGTTCCCTTGAAGTGCTGCAATTCATACAAATGCAGATATAAATGCCTAGAAAACTACAGCCCAATGCTGCAGCATAAAAAAATACTCCCATCACAACCAAGATATATATATAAAGCAGAAAGAAGAGAGAACGGAATGGAGGCAAACCCTAGAAGGTTCAGTCCTTTCAAGATTGCTTCATGTGCCTTTTGATCCTACTCATTATCAGGAGAAAAAATGAATAATAAATAAAAAAGATATTCTGCAGTCTAGTTTTGTCTGATAAGTAAAACAATGATAAACTTAAAATAAAATAATAAATAAATAAAACAACTACTTACTCTAAGTAGTATAGGAATGTGCCAGATATTCGGAACATCATATAGAGTGACAATATTTTCTGCCTGGAAATAAGTCATTTTGCTCAATAACAGTAATTACTGATTATAAAAATTGCCAAAGACAGATAGCATTTATATTGCATTACCGGCACATGGCAAAACTGAGAGAGTTTTTCCTTAACATTGTCATCAAGTGCCTATGCAAAAATAAAAAAGTGAGTGAAAGTTAATAAGTAATGCAAAACCAACACCAGCACATACAGTTGAAAAACAGAAACGACACTTAAACCTTTGTACTACGGCAGGCAAGAATATTTGGTGTCAAGCCAAGTCCTCTAAGTCCCCGAACACTATGCTGGGTAGGCTTTGTTTTCTGTTATTTTCAACTTGTGAGTTGTGAGAGTGATATTTAGAAATTGACAGTCAGCAGGCTTATAAGCTCATTTCATGCATCAAATTTCTCCAGCTTTCAAAACATGATCTACGATCTTCTATATACAAGCTAAATAAAATTATGCATAAATAGATAGTCTTTAGAGTTCAGACATACCTGCTCACCAACAACATTGAGAACAGGCACAAGGCTGACATGAACCAACAAGAAATTGCCAGGACCTAAAACAAGAAACATGAAGTGAAATTATGATCAGACCAGCAGCACATCTAAGAGAAAATTCACATTAACAAATCAGATAAGGAAGGACATAAATAAGTTTCTTACCCACACCATATGAGAACTGACCAAGGGCCTCAATAAATGGCATAGATTCAATGTCCCCTGGATCAAGAAAAGTTGTGAGACAAAAAACAAGAAATGCATCAACAGAAATCGCTGAAGTGAACATACCTATAGTTCCCCCCAATTCAATGACACAAACATCAGCATGACCTTCCTTTCCATCGACAGGTATCATCGCAGCTCGTTCTATCCACTCTTGGATGGCATCTGTAATGTGAGGAACAACCTAGAACAAACAAGAGATTTAAAATTAGGAAATCATGGGTAGCCGTAGCAATGCATGGCATATTTTGTTGAGAAAACAGTGGAAAGCTTAAAATATACCTGGACAGTCTTGCCAAGATATTCTCCTTTCCTCTCTTTCTCAAGAACAGACTGGAAAAACAGAAGGGACAAAGGTAGTGAATAAAGGGTGTTCGAACTGAATGGGAAGAAATGATGGAATGGAAAGATGAATGGAATACAAAACGACCTGATAAATCTTTCCCGTTGTTATATTATCACGCGTTAATGTGATGTCTAGAAAGCGTTCATAGTTTCCAAGGTCAAGGTCCACCTTCAATCAAATGCACAACAACAACATCATCATCATCAAAGTTCGATCAAAAATGGGTGTACAAAGAAAAAGAAAAGAGGAGAACCTCGCCACCATCATCAAGGACAAAAACTTCACCATGCTCAAAAGGAGACATTGTACCGGCATCGGTGTTGAGATAAGGATCTAAACATGATGATATTATAACAAGGATTGCGTGAAAAAATTGGGTTAAAATAGAAACCATTGGAATTTACATAAGACGAAGAAAAATACCAATCTTAATGGAAGTAACACGAAGGCCACATGATTTAAGGAGAAGACCAATGCTACTGGCAGTTACCCCTTTCCCCAGACCACTCACCACACCTCCTGTAACCAGCACGTACTTCATTTTCTTCTCCCTTTTCTCTTTCTCTCTTAAGCAGCAGATAAAAACAAAACAAATGAAATGAAAAGAGGAAGATCGAAAGGATGATACACATACAAAAACCAGCTAGCCAACCAGCCGGGAACTTTTTCCTTGTTCTGAGAAAACCCTTTAAAGCATTTGGCAAAAAAGATAAAGAAACAACCCTCTCCTCTCCACTCGTCTGCTGGTTGACAATGGCCAACGGTCTTCACAAATTAAAGTAAAAAAAAAAAAGCGCGAGTTTTACAGAATCAAAACCGCAACGATAATGTGAAACGCGGGAATGTATGGAATTGAAACTGAAAACCCAAAATCGGAGGGATAAATGATAATGAAAGTAAATGATAACACCCTTCGTTGCTCCCTCCTTCTCTTTGCACTTTTCAAGTTGAAGGCGGCGGGTGAATGAAAATGAGATAAATAAAACAATACCCAAAACCCACACCTGCCTTACCCTTTTCTAATTTTTACTTATACACGAAAACTATAAATAAATAGATATAAAAATACGCCTTTCGTAATAAGTTTATTTTATTTAATTAATAAATTAATTATTTTATTAGTTTAAAAATCGATTTCTAGTTCAATTCTTTTATTAAATTTAAATAAATTAAATTTGTATATATTTTTATAAATAAATTTATAGTGAAATATAGTTATTCTGTTTAAATATTATATAAAATATGATCAAATTAAAATGTAATTATATAATTTTTTTAATATATATATACACACTAACTTTTGAAGGTTCTTTTCCCTGAAGTTAGATTTTAGTCTTCCATTTAAAATAAAAAATAGATGTTAATGTTTACCTAAATTTTTAATTTTTAATTACAACTTCACTGAATTATTATTCTAATTTTTTTTATCTTATATTATATTTCGAAGTAGTTACGTCACATTCTTTCACATCTACTTTAATGAATTTAAAAAGGTTGTTTTAACCCTTGATTTTTTGGGGAAATTACAAAAATTTAAAAAAACTAAATTAAACAAATTATTTATCTACTTTTTATTTTCATTTTTTATAAAATATATCATAAAGTATAAATTAAAAAGTAAAAAGTAAACAAATTAAAATACTATGTTATATATATATATATATACACAAAACAAATTAATCATATTATATAATTAAATTAACAAAACTAATATGTTTATATATATATATATATATATATATATATATCACTACATATTTCATACACTTTATATATATGTATGTATATTAAGTATGATTTCATTATCATACAATCATGTTATCAATACATATACAAAATATTTTTATTGTATTTTTAAAGACTTAATAATTTTTGTATCTTAATATTTGCAGTAAGATCTATTCGTATATATCTTTTACTCAAATTTTTTTAGATGGATTTTCATCTTTTACTTTACGATCTTTATTGGCTAGTTTATTGTGTAAATAATTATAAAAGAATATTTTAATTATATTTTAAATTTTTATTCTAACTATAAATTTTAAGGAGTATTTACGAGCCATTGTTGTTAAATGTGTTGTAATATCAATTGTGAGAGGCGAATGTGAAAGGATGATAAAAGAAGCTCAAGGCTAAGCATAAAGCTAGGAATCTTTTAAAATAATTCTGGAATTTGTGAATCAAAGATACCAAGTTAAGAATGAAGGAAATGAGACTCGTTCACACCTCAAAAAACCTAATATTCGTCCCAGACATTTTCGACGAAACTCAAAATATACATAATAAATATAGAGAATTATTAAATTTTAAATCATAGAGAATTATTAAATTTATGAAATATTTTTATTATTTATTTCGAAAACACCTTAAATGCAACTAAAGAGAATAAATATAAAATTGAATGCATGTATGATACATTGCTTGATTTTGAATAATCGATAAAAATTAATTGTATATTATTATATTGTTAGATTGAGAATGAAGAACACTAAAAATTAAAGAATATTAATAAATTGAAGAGTAAGATTTGAAAAAGAAAAGAAAAGAAAAATGATTAAATTTAATTCAAAATTGAATGAATAAATAAGAGAAATTGAAAAGAAGGTAAAAAAACTAAACATTTTATTAATTTATAAAAAGTAGGGCCCCTATTTATAAATATAAAAAATTGGTTAAATTTAATTTCCATTTCCATTTCCAGTAAAAACTTTCGACGTGTTTTTTGTAAGCAGGACCAATCATGTTCAATATTCTGGCTGTATAATAAATAGCATAAAAGACTCAAAAGGGCTACAAATAAACTAACTATTAATAGAAATAAGCAAAGGTCTTATAAATATATATATATAGAGAGAGAGAGAGAGAGAGAAATAAGCAAAAGGTGAACAAAGGAATAATTCAAATAATTGAGAATGAAAAGGATGTGTTAGTACCCTTTTAGTCTACCAATGTTTTACACGGGAAATCTAATAAAACAAAGTATTAATGACTTCAGCTTCTGTTACTATGTTTTTCCTATTTCCATGTTTGCTAGTTAGAAGGATATGCCTCCAGTTTCTCATTCCATGAGCATTAGGAGGACATGCCTCTACTTTGTCATGCCTTCAGGTAATTTGAATTCAATAAAAGTTATGCAGTACTTCAACTCAAAAAGATTGCAGGTTTTTTCATAAAGAACCAACACCATAGGCCTGCAAAAGAAAATCTCTTACCAAACTCCTAATCTTCCCCGCACCAATTCTGATTCTGTCTTGCATCGTGCCATAACTAGATCTATTACAAGGGACTGTATCAATGTGATCCTAAAGTTTACTTCCACAAATTGAAATTTAAATGCTTATAACAAAGTGATGTGTTCTTAAAAGATCATCATACCTCCTTCTGTTGCACATCATTTTTCAGACGATCATAGTCTTCCACATCAATGTTTCTACATCTCTCAAGTAACTTCACAAAAGGAGTAAACGTTAAAACGGTGCAAGAAAGAGAAAAATAGCACTCTACATTTTAACCCATGTTCTTACCTCGGAGACCCTATTTTCTAAGACCTCTCTCTCTCTGTCTGATGCTTTTCAATTTCCCTTTTAGAAGCTTCGAGCTCAAATTGCCTCTCCATCAGCTGACTCTCTAGGGCTTCAGATTCAATCCTACTTTTATGAGACACCTCACGTAATTTCTATAAGCAAAAAAGGTAAACTTGTAAATTGAAAAATATAATAAATAAATAAATATAAAAAACACTGCTTATTCCTGAAAGAAGCTAAATTGATTTTTCCCCAAAATGATCCTAGGCCTACTAGAGTGCAAGTTTCCTCCAAAGACATACCTGTCATTCCTCAAAATTGTACTTGTTGTCCTCTCTAAGCTGCATGTTACTTTCACGGAGCAAATTCATTTCCCTAATCTGCATATATTACATGATTTAACTATCGGGACTTCCGTAAAAAATATTACATAAGGGCATACTAGAAGAAATAGGATAAAATAACAAAGGCTAGGTCTCTGAAAGGGTACTGAAATTGACATGATATCAACAAATATTGGACTAAAAGAATCTATATAAAGGGGGAAAAAGCGTGGGGGGAAAGCTGAGTGCCCCTAACAACACTATTTTGCAAGGAGACTAACCTGGTGTTGTAAGGAGACTAACAGTGCTCTTGAATTGACACGCTCAGCATTAGGTGTGACTTTGACATTTTCTTCTGCCTTAAGAGCATTCTCAAGATACAAAATAAATGCCAGGAAATTTGTGCCATTTAAACAATCCCATGAAGAAACAGAACTGATGTTCCATAATGAAGCCAACACTTAATGATATACAAAGCCAGCTTCCTCGCCCATGTAGGGCGTTGGAAAAAAAATTTCTTTTATATAGGTTCTATCCAAATTATTTTTTGAACGGGGTATTTATTATAGTGATTTCATTGGTCGTCAAGTGCTCTATAGGTTGTCAAGTGTTTCATAGATCGTCAAGTGTTCCTTGAAACAAAGTCTCTTATATCGCAACAACTCTTCTCTTTTCTTTCACTGTTGCAGCTCCATAAGTTGCCATATACTCCATAGATTGCCATATATTTTTGGAGACCTATGATGGTCACTGTAATAATCACCTTATTTAAATAAATAATTGTTCGACTGTATTATGTGAATATTTTTTTTTCTATTGTATTATTCAAATACTTTTGCCATACAAAGCCTTTGCACCTCTTTTTGAGCAAACAATAAATTTCAACTAAACACATCGACATTGTAGTTGTGATCAAAGGCAATTAAAGTCGAGTTTTCAAGTACTAAAAACTAAAACAAATTCATTAAGTCATTGAGTGGGGGCAAATAACTTTAAAAAATTGGAAAATAACCTGAATTTTTTTTTATTTTACTGAGGACAAAAACATAATAGGTAGATAGAAAACTAGAATTGACTACAAAATAATATGTGCTTCAGAACATCACGTATGCAACGCAGTTGATATTATGGAGAGGAATTACTAACTTGTGATTGCAACCGTAACTTCTCCCGCTTCAACAAAGATATATCTGTCTCTGCCTATTAAAAATCACAGAACATTAAAAAATAAAGGCAGAAAGAGAAAGACAAAAACACATATAGTGTTAAAAAAAAGAGAACTTACTGTCTCTTTTGTCAGCCGGAGGTAATTAATTACATTCTGCAAACCAGAATCACCATGTGAATCTTGAATAGAACCACGATCTCTCTCAGCCAACTGAATATGCATAGCTTCAATCTGACCATGCAATATCTTGTTCTGAAGAATACAAGATAAAGTCTCATATCAACAGTCATATAAAAACTGCATTTTTCTAACCTTTTGCATTATAATATATATATATATATATATATATATTCTAGCTGGGGGATGATCAAGAAAATATATCCTCAAGTACATTATTTCACTCTGAACAAAATAGTAGTACAAGGAAGACATGCTTCAACCTTTTTGGAGAATTCTGAAATAGAACACTCTCTCTTATATTTTTTTCGTCAACATGATGTGTATAAAAGTATAAGGGTCCTATAATATTTAAAGTACTATCCTATATTAACTATGTAAAATCCTACAATAAATACAATTTAGTTTGCAAATCTGTAACAGAGGAAAATAACTGTTTCATGAGTAGAATTGAATTTACTGCACCGGTGAGAATGAATGAAGAGAAAGGACTAAGAAGCAAGAACAAAAATAAATAAACAAGCAGCTGTCAGACCCATGATTACCTGTTCATTAAGTTCATCATATTTCCTCTCAGCTTCTTTCCTGGATTCCTCAAATATTGATTTCTCCATCTCCCGCTTAGCCTTAAGTTCAGCCTGGAAAGAACATATTCAGGTAATCAAGTCATATCAATGCATTTAACAACAAACAACTTTCAACCAAAAAGCAGAAAACTATAAATCATAAAGCCATTAGATGAAGCTTAAAATCAGCTATGGCAGTGAACTGTACGATGGAACATGATAATGTCTACTGAAGGGAAGTAATTTCAAATCCCCCAACTTAAAGGCTTTTATTAAAGAGAAAATCGCCTCAGTGACCAAAAAAAGTTATAATATACGATTTTAACCAACTTTTTTTGGATTTGCCAAAATGACCAACAAAATCGCAACGCGAAATAAAAATCGCAACGCGATCCCCAGAATCGCAAATCAGTTTCCAAAATCGCAACGCGATTCTTGAAAATCGCAATGCGATAGTACAAATTCGCATTGCGATTTTCCAAAATCGCAACGCGAATATGAAAATCGCAACGCGAACACATAAATCGCAACGCGTATCCGTAAATCGCAACGTGTATCCGTATATCGCAACGCGTATCCGTAAATCGCAATGCGTATCCGTATATCGCAACGCGTATCCATAAATCGCAACGATAATCCGTAAATCGCAACGAGAATCTGTAAATCGCAACGATAATCCGTAAATCGCAACGAGAATCTGTAAATCGCAACGATAATCCGTAAATCGCAACGAGAATCTGTAAATCACAACACTGAAATTTTGGGTATATAACACTGAAATCATAAACTAAATCCCTAAATCGCAACTCATTCCATCTCCATCTATCACTCTCTCCGGCGACATCCGTTCCTATATCCAACGACATCCTTCCCAATCCGGCAACAGGTTTTAGTTTCGCAGCTCGTCTGTTTAGTAAATTAATTTACAACCATGAAATCATCTAATGTTGATCATGTTTGGATAGATTTGTGTTTTGGAGGGTCATGGGATAATGTTCATGGTGTTTTACAATATATGCCTTTACCCATGAATCTTCAACTAAAATTGTCTTTACAAAAGTTAACTTATGAAACTCTAATGCTACGTGTTTCAAATAATTGAATTTAGAGCCCCTAAGTGGATTTAGGCTATCTTATCAGAGAAATGGAAAAGTTTATTTGTTAACCGACAATGAAGATGTTGAACGATTCATTGCTTACATTAGTGTTTCACAAGATGATGTTACATTGTATGTTGTTGAACCTAGAAGTAGTATTGTTGGGTCAGTAGCGGGTAGTAATCAACTAAGTTTTTCTCAAAACCCACAACCTTTCTCTAATCCAAATCCCAATCAACTTTCAGCACCAAATTCCGGTTTTCGTATTGACCAGTTAGACGATGATGAGCCAACAGAAAAATTGTGAGTACTAGTCAGTATTCGAAATTTGGTCTTGGTCAATATCCGGACTTTGATATTGGTCAATACACGGATTTTGATGATGTTTCAGAAGAAGAAACAGACCCTGCGTGTAATGATTTTGATATTGGTCAATACCCGAATTTTGATGATGAAACAGCCGTTGCCGAAGAATGTATTGTTGATGATAATGAGGAGAAGTTACGACTGTGAATGAACATGTTGAACATCCATTCTGTAATTCATATAATCCTGAAGAAGAAAAAGAAGAAGAAAAAATCCCCGAAGAAAAGAAAATGCCACGGGCGTATAACTGGAATATGCCAGAATTACTTCAGATACCGGAAGAAGAGTTGGTAAAGAAAGCAGTTGATTGTTACACAAAAGTTATTCGTATCAAGAAAGATGATTGTTTTGATACAAAGGAAGACTTGAAGATAGCTTTGTATACGAAATGTGTGGAAGATGGCTATCAACTAAAAGTTAACAAATCAAGCAAAGATCGTTTCGAAACAATGTGTATGATTGACAAAAACTGTATGTGGCGAATGATTGCAAAGAGAATAAAAGATTGCGAAATGTTTCAAGTTAGGACTTTTTATTGATAAACATACATGTTCAAGAACCCAAGTTTTTCCTCACCATAGACAGGCAAACAAAAAGGTGTTGGGTGGTTTTCTGGCTGAGTTAATGTTTTTGAATGGCAGGGTATATCGGGACATGAAATTATGACTGACATGAATGCTCGGTTCAAGATTAGTATATCATATTCTCAAGCTTGGAGAGCCAAATGTTATGCCTTGGAATTGTTGAGGGGGTCGCCAGAAGCATCGTTTGCCCAACTGCCGGCTTATTGTCACAATTTAAAGCTGAAAAATCCTGGGTCGGTAACTCATATCAAAACAGATAGAGATGGACGCTTTGAGTTGCTGTTATCGCCATTGGTGCTACGGTTAGTAAATCAATATAATTTTGTTGACTCATTTTTGTTAGTTACATGCATTTCACATTTAAATGATTATATTTCTTGTGTATATTATTTTGTAGATTCGTTCGTTTATTACTTGCATGCGCCAGTTATTATAGTTGACGGAGCACATTTGAAAGGTCGATACCTTGGAGTAAACTTATTAGCAGTAGCCATGGATGCTAACAATGGGATATTGCCAATAGCTTACGGGGTTGGCAAATCTGAAACCTCTGATTCATGGACATGGTTTATGGGGCATCTTAGGGATTGCATAGGTCCTATTAGCAATCTGACAATCATATCTGATAGGGCAAACTCAATTGACAACGCTGTTAGAAGGTGTTTCCCAGATGCTTTTCATGGACTTTGTGGTGTTCATTTGTATAGAAATCTAAAATCAAGGTCTGCTGGTATAAAAAAGCACAAATGGATATACTGGAAGGCTGTAAAAGCTTATCGGGAAGTGGATTTCAATAAGCATATAAATTGTTTAAGACGTGTTTTGCCTCAGTGTGCTCAAACACTAGAAGATGTCGGGTTTGAAAGATGGTCAAGAGTACATCAACTTGGAGCAAGATATGGTTTCATGACGTCTAATAGTGCAGAATCAATCAACGCTCTAAGTCGTCATTCCCGGAAATTACCCATTACTATGTTAATGGAGTTTTTTCGAGCCTCTATTCAACAGTGGTACTACAAGAAAAGAAACCATGCAGGTATTATTTCTTTGAATTCGTAACTTATCATATTTATATATTTTACTAAGTATTGTTTATTTAAATTTACAGGAACATTGGAACATCGTGTTACACCATGGACTGAAAAAAGATAACGAAACGTGTTGTGAAGTCAACGTCATGGAGAGTTGAACCATGTTCAAACACTTTGTTTCAAGTACTGGATAATAACTTAAATGGGCTAGTCGATCTAAATGCAAAGACGTGTAGTTGTATGAAATGGCAAACATCTGGTTATCCGTGTGGCCATGTTATAAAGTTGCTCTTCATTTAAACCAAGATGATTCAAGCGCATACGCTATGGATTGCTACACTACAGAAGTTTATCGACAGACTTATGCCGAGATTGTCTACCCTATTCCACATCCTTCTGAGTGGGACATACCAGATGACTTACAAACAGTTTTGCCACCAGCCATGGACAGAAGGCTACCTGGCCGACCAAAAAGTCACGATCGTATACCGTCTAAGGGTGAAGAGAAGAAGAGATCGACATGTAGTCGGTGCAAGGAAAGTGGTCATACAAGGTTAACATGTGGATCACCAGTGCCATCAAATCATCTTTTCCTCTACCAAAATATGGATCCTCATCAAAATCACAATTGGCTTCACCTTTTGGGACTGTTAACTTAGGTGATTTTTAAATGCAACGTTGTATTATGTGGATTTTATGTGTGAACTTTTAACATTTTCAGTTGAATTAATGACTCAGGCCAACCATTTTGACTTAACCAACTCTTGTTATTCAGTTGTTATCACTATTAGGCATGCATTTGACTATCGCAACACGGAAATTACAATCGCAATGAGAGAATCGCAATGCGAAATGAAAATCCCAACATGAAAATCGCAATGCGGAAATGAAAATCGCAATGCGAAATGAAAATCGCAATGCGAAATGAAAATCGCAACGAGAGAATCGCAATGCGAAATGAAAATCGCAATGCAAAATGAAAATCGCAACGAGAGAATCGCAATGCGAAATTAAAATCGCATTGCGATTCTCCCGTTGCGATTTTCATTTCCGCATTGCGATTTTCATTTCGCATTGCGATTCTCTCGTTGCGATTTTCATTTCGCATTGCGATTTTCATTTCGCATTGCGATAGTCAATTTTGCCTTCAACATAATGCAGATTGAAATCAACAAAATCAACCATTACATTTCAATCAATTAAACAAGCACAAATAAGAATTATATTCGCATCAATTACACAAATCAACTTTTACAAATCATCTTTTACAAATCAATTAAACAATCAAAAAATAAGCAATAATTCTTATTTCCGATCATCTACTATTGAATCAACTTTTACAAATCAATTAAACAATCAAAAATCAATCAATTAAACTATTGAATCAACTTTTGCAGCCATACATCATTTTCACGCAGTTCACTTCTGAGATTAACCTGCAGAAACCAAACATTTGCTCAAACAACACTTTCTACACATCTAAAACCTACAAACAGCAAATTATTGAATTCTAGGTACTTAACCAAACATTTTCAAACCAAAGTATATAAACTTACCAATTGTTTATGGACATTTTTATAACGCGGATGCAGGTAGGCAGCGTCTCGTATATATCGATTTAGCCATATAATGCCGAAACCACAAGCCTACTGCAGCTCTATCTCTATCGGTGGGAGGTAGATACTTGATGCTTCCCGTCGTCAAACGCTCCAACGCCAAGCATACGAGAGGACCACAATCTCCTCTGGCTCCGCTCGTTTGTTGTGGCGCGGTCTCGTCTCTAATAACTGTAATATTGAGCTTCTTTGGCTTCTTGTTTCCAGAACGAGTCCAATAATTGATCGCATCCAAGAATTTAGCCAAATGAGAGCTCCATCCCTTAATAACATCTCTTAAATCAGCCAATGATATGTAATTTATCATGCTGTCATACACTATTGTCTTAAGGGATGGGAGCTGAAGCTCGACGAGAATCCAATGTTTACGTTCCAAAACAGGGATAAACACCTGCAATCATAAGTAATAATTCATTCATTTGCGCACT